TATTTATTTTATTTATTTTTATATTTCTTCTTTTTTTTTATTTTATTTTCCTTTAAATAAAAGATCTTCTACTTGACTCTCATTACTTTAAAATTTGCTACAGCTTGATAGTTTTTAGTAAATTTTATTACAATATTTAATATTACTTTATTAGTTATAAAATAATTATTTATTTTGACTTTAATACAATTTGCAATATTTTTTTCAATATGAGGATAGGGAATTAATTTAAATGACAATAAAATAGAAACAAGTCTCCAGTCTTTGTTAAGAAAATAGATGATAATTGTTATATAACCAAGTTGTTGGGTCGATGTCCATGTATTACAAATAAGAAAGATTTTTCTATTAGCACTTTGTAGAATAGCTTTAATTAGGGTTTTTCTTTTATCATAAGTCTTCATTATATCTCACTTTATTATGTTAGCATTGATTATAAAATCAGGCAATGTTTCACTAACAAATTTACAAAAACCATGCTGCTCAACAAACTGAAAACTTAGTTCATCAGTAATTAACATATATGCCAAATTTTTTAGTTTGTGTTTTTAATAGATAGTTGACTAGTTGACATATTAGAACTTAGATGAGTTTTATTTTTTTTAGAACAAAACTTCTGGTACTTTAAACAAGATTTAAGATGTTGATAGAGATAAGATGTTCTACTTTCTTTTTTGTGATTAAGTAACTTTTTACAATAATTACATTTGGCCTTTGCTTATTTTCTAATATAGTAAAGTTTTCTTATATTGTAGATTTGTATTTTGATAAAATTATTTCTCCAATAGTTGCATTAGCAGCTGTAGCAGTTAATTCAGTAACTGATGATTCTGAAATTAATACAAAATCATTTGATATAATTATTTCAACATTATGGTTGTTTATTTCATTCATATTAAAAGTTGTTTGACTGATCACTGATCAATAGAAAACTGTTTTAATTTTTGTTAATATATATACAATTTACTAGTAATTAGAAAGTAAAAATAAAAGTTAATACTATTTCTTAAACTGTCTTCCAGGCAAATTTGCCTAGATTTTTAAATTAAATTTAGTATTTTTTAAATAACACAATAAATTATTAATAATATGAGGTACAGTTTACTTATAAA